AAAGTTGCCGAAGATGGCTGCACTTCGTCTTCAAGATATAGAGGATTACAAACGTTCCATCGTGAACCTTCAGAGACTTCATCATCACCACACTGAGGACCCAAACCTCCCTCGCCGCATTTCATTGGGGTGGTGCCGCGCCGCCAAAGCAGCACTGTGTAGTTACCCAACAGTACATTTGTAATTGTAGCACCAAAAAATATATAAAAGGATGGGAGTATTACAACACCCCCGAGCTCTGGAATGAAAATTCTGGACAGCATAACATGTATCACAAACGTATCCAGAAAGGAAAATTTACCAACGTAGTCAATTATACGGAGAATTCGCGCATGAGGTCGCTGCAACACAAGTGCAAACAACAGCATACAGGTTAGTTTAACGTAGGGATAGATGCAACTGAATAGAAATACAAGCACAGAAAGCGGCTGCATCCCGATATTCCACAAGTCCCTCACAGTGTTCATTAACGTGAAGCCGTAAATATGCAACTCACCGCCCAGAGAAACATACACAGCCGTAGTGAGATTGGACCATAGGAATGCACCGGCACATGCAAAGCAGCTGATGGACAGTAGCATATCCTCGAGAATGATACGCACAACAGAGACGGGCTTCAAGGTTCCCTGGTGAACTACAGGTCTCACCCGATGCCGCATGACATTTAAGTTTACCAAGTACACAGTGGCAAGCGCACTGCCAATAATGTAGACCACCACAATCAGAAATGAGGGGTACGAAACAATCGACACTTTAGCGGCTATAGGCATGTAATAACGTTTACCATCTCCACCACCCTTGTCAGATGCGCTATCCAGCACGCCCGCAAATGCGGTAGACCCAGTGTCCTTGGGAACGCTTTCGATTGGGTTGGCTATAAAGGTATTGAGCTTTTTGCTTAAAAAGTTTGAAGCCAAAGAGCTCATTTTGATGTTGAACAGACGACCCATATCACCTGCATTGCTTACTCGTAGATTACTCACACTGAAAGCATCTATAGCGCGAACACTATAATTGTATGTGTTCGGTTTACAACGCAGGTCATTTAATGTCAAGTCTAATGAAAAGCCAATTCCAGCAGGAAGTACCATGATTGCCTTCGCTTCCTCAAACGTCACTCCAATGACAGGCGAGTGAAGATTCAGCTCTGCAAAAACTTCTGGCTGACCAAGCAGCTGACGAAGGAGTCCCACTATACCATCTAGATTAAGTTTCCAAATCGAATCGAGATTCAGAGCTCCATTCGCGGGGGCACTGCTTTGTGATTCCC